AGAGAGAGGCAGATACAGAGAGAGAAAGAGGGAGAGAAAGAGAGAGACAGAGAGAGAAAGAGAGAGAGAGAGAAAGAGGGAGAGAAAGAGAGAGACAGATAGAGAGGAGAGGGGCTCTAGATCCCCAGGGCCTTGAATACATCCCACTGACAAGGTTTCCTCTACCTCGCTGTTCAGAGAGCGACGATGCCCCACGCATCAAATCCAGCCTTGAGGTCCCCCAAGGGCAAGGAAGGAGCCGAGCCTTAGCCCAGTTCCCGATCGTCGATCCCGAAGCTGACCTGGCGGGTATCCTTCTCCAGGTAACGGGCGGGTCAACTCATCAAACGTTCCTAGGCTTCTTTTAGTAGTTGCCATAAAAATAAAAGGGTGGGGTGGGGGGAGGAAAGAAATCTGGAAGGGCAGTGCAGCAGTTTGAAATTGCAAATACATTCCAACTCTTTATCTTTAAAAGAGTGTAACTAAACTACCAGAGATTTTGCCTGAGAATATATTTAATTGGAGAATGTGATTGATGACACCGCGAAGGTGCTCAGTTGGAGAATCTGGTTTAGGAGACACCTGGGGGGGGGAGGGGGAAACAGGGTCACAGGGGACTGTAAATGACGTGGGTCAGAGTTGGCTTCATACAGGGCAGGGCCAGGATGTCGCCTCTAACAAATCCTTGGAAGTTTTTTTTTTTTTTTATGGGGGAGGAAAGGGCCCTGATCCCCTTTCATTAGCTGGGAAAACAGGATTTAAAAAGGGCGATTGCGCACAGCACCTTGCTGGAAGTAAAGTGCGCATTATCTTGGTTTGTCAAGTCTTATCTGGGTTCTGTCGTCCTCCCAAGTGTGTTGTGTGTTTCGTTATCTTTTGAAGTGTGCCATTCCTTATCCTGCCCTGTCTCGTTCATTGCTGCAGTTGTGGTTTGCGTTGGCTTTTATTTATAATCTATACGTACTTTGGGTTTGGATGGAATTTCTTCCCTTTAAAAACTGTTCTGGGGAGAGTTTTTTTCTCTCCAGCCGATGATAACTGGACATTGGGGGCCAAGTTGGAGGAATTCAAGGGACTTGACCTACTTTTGGGACTTTGTTGCTTTTGTGCCACGCCCCTTTGATGTCATCACAGGCCTTTTCTCTTAATGGGCCCTGGATTCACTTAAGGAACTTGGGGTGATTTGCTTAATAGTTACTGCAAAAAAAAAACCCAAATAAAATCAGGCCAGTCACGTGGGCCACCTGCTTTACAGCCGTCGCCACTTCTGACCGTAAAAGGCAGGTTCCGTTAACGGTCATAAGTCGAGGACGGCCTGAAAGAGACTATCCTCTGGAGTGATGGGAATCTTTTAAGGAACAGGCACCCCTAATTCAGCAGTGAGCGAAACAGCGTCCTCCCTTTACCGACCGTCTCTCTTTCCTCCGGCCTGTTCAGTTGTTCCCGCTGGCTCCGGACCCCCGCTGGCAGAACTCGAACCCGCGGCCCCTCGCCCTGGCTTTGCAGCAGAGCCTCGGCCAGGAGCTGGCTCCCCCGCGGCCGGGAGGAGGCGTCTCGCCCAAGACGACGGCGGCGCGGCTTCTCAAGGCCCTGGCGGCCCTCTTGAACTCGCCCCACGGAGGAGCCCTGGTGATGGCCATGCACCACAGCCACGTCGTGGCCTGCCCACTCCTGCGCCTGCTGTGGCAGCACCAGGTGAGGCTCCCTCTCGGCCGGGGGCCGGAATAACTCAGATCCTGGGCGGGGCGGGGAGAAGACCCCGAGATGAAAGAGGTTTCCGTCCATCGAAATATCCTCGGCTTCTCAACCGTTGGAACTTCCGATGGTGGCACTGAAAAAAAAAGGGGGGATTTGTGACCGTTTTCCCACACTTATGACCCTCGCAGCATCCCCAGGGTTGCGTGCGCGATCCAAATTCAGACGCTCGGCCACCGGCTTGTATTTATGACGGTGGCCACGTCCCAGGGTCACTTTTGATGCCCTTCGGGACAGGAGCAAGGGCTCTCGGGAGCTCTCGTTTGGTCTCGTGGCCCTGCGGTTGAGGCCATAAGGGGCCAGGAAGACCCTCCTCCCTAAGGGGGCGGGGAGAAGGGGCTCGTATTGGGAGGGGCTCCTGGTCTAAGGTTGACGGATCGGAAGGGGCAAATGAGATTCTCCCCCCCCCCTACACACACCCCTTGCCAAAGGAATGAGGAGTAGGAAAGTTTGGATAATCCGGAATATAAGAAGTGGGTCTGTGTGAGCCTTGTCTGGAATAACGCCTGGGGGGGGTGGGGGGAAGGCTGAGGGGGGGGAGGCCGAGGGGGGGGAGAGGAGGGGCAGGCACAGCCAGGAAGGGGCATAATGAAGTGGCACGCAGTGGTTTGATTTGATTATTTTAATCGGATTTGCTTTGCTTTGCTTTATTTTATAATTGGATGTTATTATTTGATTTGGTTTTTTTCTATTTGATTTAATGGTTTGATATTTTTGATTTGATTATTTAAATCTGACCTGATTTCCTTTGATTTATCTTATTATTGGGTGTTATTATTTGATTTTTGATTTGATCTGATGATTTGATTTGATTTTTGATTTGATTTGATTGTATTGTATTTTATGATTTTATTGTATATTGTATTTTATTTTATGATTTTATTGTATTTATTGTATTTTATTT